ATAAAGCTAAAGCGTTTATCAGGCAGTGCTTTGTAGATCACTGGGAAGGCGGTGTCATCACCTCCAGGTACTCTATTAAACTGTAAGATAAATTAATCCAGACGGTGCGCGCACGCGTCCTTTCAGGTTAACTTGACACTCAAAGTTAATGAATAAAGTTTAGAAGTTAGAGTTTGAACCCAAACACATAAAACGTGGGTAACAATAGTACTTTGTGCCACCACCAGAAAACAATCAGAAAACTGGATGCATGTGGCTGGTGGATGTCAGACAGGGACGTGCTCTTTGTCCTGGGATTTCGGTCATTTCTGCAAATTACACTGTGTTTGCATTTGGAACACCATGTGTATTTGTTCTGGGCTCTCTTAATAATCGGTTATTGCATTTAAGACACTGTTATGGCATCCTAAGCACTTCTTTAACCATTGTGCTTCTCCATTAAAAGTAATCCTATAGACTAAAGGTGCCAAACATAGGGCCCGTGGGCCAAAAGACTGCCCCACTGGATATCTTTAGAAGAAGTGAGGAGCTTAAACTTTGGACTTTTGACTGTATTTTCATAAGTTTCACAGTTTTTCCTGATAAAGATGTTCACCATGACCATTCATATTATACACCAAAGTAAGGGATAAATAATTTAATGACAGAAACCTTCCTCTTTTTGTTTGTTTCTCATTCTCAATGGAAATGTTTCATTAGTATTTTTCATTTGTTATATTGTCATAATGGGTCCACAGTAATAACAATAAATTGTAAGTGGCTGATAAGAGTTTCATAAACTGCCTCTTCTGTTTAGTGATTAGTCGCCTCCCTGGTGTTGTACCTTTTCACATGTGAAGCGATTGTTTTAGTTTCTCACTGTGCAGGGTATAATGCTGGATGCTCGTACGAATAACAATAAAGTTCACTCTAACATTTCATTTGATGGTTTTTATGAGTCCCACCTTTCCCTTCCCATCTATGTTCTGATTGTTTAGGTTTTAATAACCCCAGCAGGTGCTAAGAATAATTTAGTCACTTTTTATTTTTACAGTGATCCAATGACAGCGGGAATGGGCTCCAGTCCAACTGTGACCCGGAGTGTATATGTGGAAGAAATGGATGACTATGAGTCAAATTCATTTTAAATGAGCAAGTCACTTGTTAACTTAGGGAGATGTTTCCCAAATGACTCAACATTTAAGTTGGCTCAATGTTTTTGAATGCATCTTCAATCTGTGTGCAGCTGTCCTGTCATGATTATCTGATCATACATATGTAATGAAACCAAAGGAAGAGGAAAAAGTGGCAGAGTTGGCAAATGGACACAGGATACCCAACACAAACAGACCAAACAGTTCTATAACTTCCACTGACCCCACCCATGATGGTTCTTGCCTGTGAGAGACATCTGAAGTGAAACCTTAAATGCTTTATATACACATGCACATGTTTAAAAAGTTCAAGTGTTTGGTAGGCCACATTTAAGATTCATGCATTTTCATGTTGTAACTTGTATCAGATTCTCACTACCTGAGCAAGTAGTCCCATAAGTGATGCCAGGCCAGCCATAGAAACACACAACCCTCCGATACCGCAACCTGCAACAACATCGTGTAACAACTGACATTTTAATCATGAAGACTTATTAACTAATTCAGCTTTAGCCTCAGTCACATACCAGTGCTCAAAGGACAGAGTTCACCATGTACTGTGAACAGATCAGGTACGTACTCAGTGCTCTGGAGATGTGAAACAATTGTCTGTCAGTCAGTGTGACATTTGGCTTGATCAGCTCCTCTAGAGTCACTGCAGCCAATGTGTTGATGATTGATGAGACTGTGCTGAGTGTAATGAAAGTTATTAAAATCCTGTACTTCACATTTGACAATTATCATTTAAGTGATGGAAACAGCTAGGAAACAAGCTGCATTAAGTAAACTATGTGGCCCAGAGGTGTTAAGTAACAAAGTACAAATACTTTTTTTTTATTTCCCCTAAAAGGGTCCAGGCGATGAGGGAATGTAACAAAAAGTGTTGGGTCGGAAAAAGGACACAGGGAGGCAAAAGGGTTCAAAAGTGTTATTAAAGTTTCTATTAATAACTCAACTAAAAGAGACGGACAAGCCACTATCACCATTTTCAGAAACAAACAAAAACTCAGGCATAGGTCAGTAAACTGAAAAGTAAAAAAAGAGTTTAGTCATTAAACACTCTTCTCCGCAGAGCAGGAGTAAATAACCACCAAACACAGCCACCCACACACACACACACACACACCCCTCACTAACTGCAACTAACATGGCTCTCTGGCACCAGAGCTCACCTTTCAGCTGTACAAAAGAAAAAGGTGCACCTAAGGCAGGACAGATGGTAGGACACACTGACACAGGCAAATTCAGGAGGCCCTACTAGGGCCTACAACTTTCAGGTATCTGTAGTTTACTTGAGCAGTCGTCAGTCGTCATCCCCCCCCCCC